GACTACGAAGAAAGGAGCTCCACAGTCAAGGGCTGAGGCAGTCAGAGTCTGGCAGAACTGCTGGAGAGATCTCTCGCAACTTAAGATCCAAGCCTCGGCTAAGGCGGCCGTACATCGGCTAGATTATTCTTGGCAGACAATACTTTTGAAAGGCACCTCCGTACTAGTCCCCAATGTCATCTCAAGGCCCCACGCACGCTTACAGTCGACCATTGTGGGAATTAACTCATGCATTGTCATTGGTGACGGAGCCATTGCTATAGGCCCACAGATGCATTCCTAGGCAACATTGCAATCGAGATGTATATATCAAAACACCGCCGCCTAGCCAGGCCGTCAAGTGCGGCCCGAGTGTGTAGTATGCTCTTTGCCCCAGTCCTGTCCGTAAGAATAGTACAAGTCCCGAACGCCATGCGCTAAAGTCAAAGTCCTAGTTACTCCATGCCGCATTCCATATAACGTGACCTATGTCTCGTGCAGTATTTACTGTGTCAACCACCCTGCCTAGCAATGAGGGCGGCAGCGGCTCTTCCTCTTCGTCTCCAAACGGCATAAACATGCCCGATGGCGTCCTTCGAAGTTGGCCACTTTGCAGCGATGCTGATGATTCGCTGCGTCGAAATGAGTAAGGCTCCGAGCCTGTTGGTGTACTTGATCTACTTGATCCATTTGTGCCGTATGCACTGGCAGGATCAAAGTACTCTTCGCCCTCTTCGTCATCCTCGGCAAGCAGAAAGTTCCGTGAGGGATTCGAAGGCTTGAGTGTTTCCGAAGATGGCGATGGAGACAGCCCACGCGGCTTCCAGAATCCAAGCGAATGTGATTGCTGCGTCTCGGGCACATCTGGCGAGTCGGTGCGATACTTGAGCGTCGTGGATGGCAGCTTGGCAATCGTCTTGTTGTCACCACTGATGCTGGCTGTCGACGCTGTGCGCGAAAGCGGCTTCTTTCTACGTGATCGCTTCATCATGACGACGCCCTCGTCCGACGAAGAATCATTGTCCTGGTACTTTGCCCAGGGATTGTGGTTGCAGTCGTCCTCTTCGTCGTCGGCGTCCTTGCACTCGACGGCAATGCATTGCTCTACCTTATCGTCGAACCGGATGTGGCGCTTTTCTCCGTGATCCGGCGTGTGCAGCTCCGAGGTGGACTTTGAAGAAAAGTAGTCGGTTCCTTCTGAGAAGTGGCCTCGGGACAGGGTCGACGATGTGGGGAAGTCGGGAGTGACTCGGCCGATGATTGGTCGGGGCCTCCGCAGCTCCAGCGTCACACCGGTTGTTCGCTGCGCCTGCACCGACTCGGCCGCTTGCTGCACCAGCGACGACGATGAGATTGACTTTTGCAGCATTGCCTCGGACATGCTCCGCTTCTTGAGGATCGGCTTCTTGACGCCATTGACAAACGAATTCGTCTTGGACAGCCGGCTTTGCGGCTCTGAATTTTGCTGTGAGAAGAAGCGGTTTGACGCGGGCTGCAGTGGGCCGTACAGCCATGTCACGTCGACATCTTTCAGCCTGAGCGATTGGTTAGCCACCGCACAGGACACGAGAGAAAAAAAAACCTGCAAGCAGGGCGCACGGATGGGGGTTGATCGACACCCCTGCCGTGGCTGCCGATCGAAATCATCAGCACTCACCAATTCAGTGTTTCGGGCGACACCGTCTTTAGCTTAAACTGGGCCTTGGCCCACGTTCGCCACGAGGCATTTTCCAGTCTAGAGCGCTCGCCGTAGACGTTGCGGTGCTCGACAATGTGCCGCCACGACGACCAAATGTCTTCTTCGCGCCACTCGTACGAGAGGTAGTCGACATGGTGCGAGGGCTCCTTGCGCACGGCCGTGTCATCCTCGGACATTGGCAGAGGGTCCGGCGTGGTTAGCGGTGAGTCGGGCGAAAAGCCCTCCGTGGGCGATGGAGAGGGTGGCGCCGGCGACTGCATCGCAGCACTCGAGGGTTTTGATGAGGCTGCATCGGTCGACAGCGTGCTCTTGTCCTGCTGGCGTGCCGAGCTGTAGCTGGGAAACGACAGGCCATCGTCGTCGCTGCCCGAGTCGTCCGACTTTGTGTCGAGCGACAGACTGCTGCAGGGCGTCGAGTAGAGCGATGAGGTGCGCGAGGAGCTCAGCGAGGGCGAGCGCAGGTCGGGCAGCGAGTACTGGTTCTTGCGGAGCGGCGAGTAGGCGTCGTAGGCGAGCGACGACGACGAGGGCGAGCGTTGGAAGGGGGCGGCGTCTCGGGGTAGCGACAGCATGGCCGTCATGACTTTTGGCAGGCGTGGAGAGCCTCAGTATCAATCACAGGGTCTGCCACACGGCGTCGACAGAGCTGGGCCGGGTGGTGGTTGTCGACATGCGGCTCGGAGCGGCGAGGCGGTCCAGGTATATTTGGGGCGTTGGGACGGCGGGGAGAGACCGGGGAGAGGCTTCTTGGGCGGGGGAGTCGTCGACGCCGGGGGCAGGGCAGGGCAGGGCAGGGCAGGACGGGGCAGGGCGGCGGGTGAGGGGATTCGCAGGCGGCCTGGGGAGGGAGGACTGGAGAATTGAAGGTTTGGATATGGATGGCAATAGTGCGCAGAGCTTCGACCCAGACCGTCACCCACCGACGCAGCGACGCAGCAGGCTAGCCGCAACCCCGCAAGCCCGCGACTGCGCCCTGGCAAATCGGACGCCCTTCGCCCACGGCCCATACGCGTTGACGGGCTCCACAGCGTTGCGTCGTGCTGTCCAGTCGCTGCAGGCCAGGCCTGTCCGCTTGATCGGCATGCAGCCCAACAGATTGAAGGACCCGGAAGCCTAGACCGCTGCTAGGTGCAGTCGTCTTGACAACGCGCCTCGCCGCCGGCTGCCTCCAGCGCCCCGTGGCCGGGGGATGCATGCCGCACTGTCGACGACGCTGCAGCGCCGCTGAGCGCCCGCGACCACACCACGACGAGCGTCGAAGCCTCGCGCTGTGCGCCCGGCCGGCCGGCCTCACGACGCGGGCGGAGCGAACCACCGGTGGGCGCTGCCCCGGCGCAGAAGCAACTCCCGCCCCAGCTCGACGAGATGCCGCGGCCGCCTTGCGCTCCAGTCTATGCAATGCGACGCATGCCCGCCTCACTAGCCCTCGGCCTAGCTTCTCAACACCAAGCCACTGCTCGCGACTGCGACGCCGATACCCAGGCATATGACGAAAACCGTCCACAGCCCTCTGCCAAACGCCTGCTCCTCCGCATCTGCTTCGACCTCTCGGCGCTGGCGAACCTGTGGGGAATGACGTTGACTAGCAGTGCAGCAATTCAACAAAGCAAATCCGCCTGCTGTCGAGGCCCGGGAGGACCCCGGATCCACCTCAAGGGCCCTTATCATGATCGGTGCCCTATCCTGCATGTGCTGCGCCAACACGACATTGACCCCATCACCCAGCTGTACATATCTGTGTCCCAGTCCCCTCTTTTCAATCCCGATGCCTCGAGCCCGCTCAGCTCCTGCTGGAACGCGCGAAGGACAAGCCAACCATGGGCTATCTTTCAGTGGATACGGCGAGCCTCCATGGATCATGGCCGTGTTTGAAGAGAGAACAAAAAAACCACTCACCTCCGACCAAGGCTTGTTGTCATGCGAGCTGTATTGCCCTACCATCACTCGTCGTACTACTACTACACTCCCGCACCCATCCTTTCCCCTGCTCTTGTCCCGTCGAGGGCGGCACATACTAGTACTTTTCCTGTGTGCCATGTGTTACGTAATACACGTTTCCGTTCCGCGGTCTTCGAGCCGCATTCCACGCGAAGCTGTCCCTTGGCTTCCGGCAATACTCATGGCAGCAGTTGAAGGCGATAAGCTCTGCAGCGAGCATGGAACTCGTGGATAGACGTTGACAGCCCGTGGAACGTTGTACGGCAGCCTTGGACCCATCCTGCGGTGGCGCCCAGACATAGGGCTGATCAACCGTTTGGAGCAGCCACAAACGTCTTGACGCGTCCAGCACGCATGTATCAACGGTTTGTATACACACATGTATGCACGTTCGCATCTCATGGCGTACTCTTTACCAGGCGCGTCTAGGCCCTCTGTGTATGTGGCTGAAGACTTCTGCTGACAGATTGGTCGGCGCTGAAATCGATCCGAGCAACAACTCTGCAAGGGTCTGACACTGGTGCAAATGACGTTGCCTCGGTCTTCGTTGTTCTCAAAGCCCCGAATCGCGCGAGGCTTTCCTAGTATTGTTTCCAAGATCGTATTCGCGTGCGACAAAAATGTCACCGCCACCGTTTCGTGTGCCATTAGCTATATGTATATACTACGTGCCGCCGCGGTGCTGCCGCGAACGTTTGTTTTTCTCCAGTCATCCAACGACAATTCAACATGACTTCGACCCACGACACAGCAGCTCCCGCTGGGGGCACCCTGCCAGAGACGAATGCGCAACTGCCTGACAAAGACCTGAATGTGTCCACCTCATCGAGCGATCTCAGCATTGCAGCACGAGACAACACAGTAGAAGGAGATCAGCAAGACATACAGGAGAAAGATGCTGCCGTGGACGCCACTGGTGGTGCGGCTGCAGCACAGGGCGCACAGGGCGATGAGCGGCCACCGAGAACGAAACTACAGATCGCTCTGATCATGTTCTCGTTAGCCGTCGCGATCCTTCTCGTAGCCCTGGATGTCACCATCGTCACGACGGCCTTGCCTACGATTGCTGAAGAGTTCAAAGATGCTGCAGGATACACTTGGATTGGTACGGCATATCTGATTGCTCAGTCGGCGGCCGGGCCAATCTGGGGTAAAGTCTCGGACATATTCGGAAGGAAGCCCCTCTTGCTGCTCACCAACGCCATATTCTTCGTCGGCTCGCTCCTCGCTGGAGTTGCCGTCAATATGAATATGCTGATTGCTGCAAGAGCAATTCAAGGCATTGGTGGCGGTGGCCTGACCATTCTGGTCAACATTACCATCTCCGATCTTTTCTCTGTGCGGGACCGAGGCGCATACTATGGTATGATTGGCGGAGTCTGGGCACTGGCAAGTTCACTCGGACCGGTCGTTGGAGGACTGTTTACGCAAAAGGTTTCCTGGAGATGGTGAGTGACACTCATGCATGCACACATGCATGGCACGGTACATGCGTGAAACCTGTACTGACTTTGCTCTTACCACAGGTGCTTCTACATCAATCTGCCGTTTGATGGCCTTGCATTTTTCATTCTCTTCTTCTTCCTCGATGTCAGAACGCCCAAAACCCCACTGCGTGAGGGTCTCAAAGCCGTTGATTGGCTAGGCTCATTGGCCATGGTAGGTGGTGTCATCATGTTGTTACTGGGACTAGAATTCGGTGGTATCACACACCCCTGGGATTCTGCAACTGTTTTGTGCCTCATCATCTTCGGGGCGGTGGTTATTGGCATCTTCTTCCTCATTGAGTGGCGGGTAGCACCCTATCCCCTGATGCCTCTAGATCTTTTCTCAAAACGGTCCAACCTAGCTGCCTTGGCTGTCTGCTTCTTTCACGCATTCGTGTTCATTAGCGGCAACTACTTCCTCCCGCTCTACTTCCAGTCTGTTCTCGGAGCTACACCGATCCTTTCGGGTGTCTATCTCCTGCCACAAGCGATATCGCTGTCACTCCTCTCGGCGTTTACCGGTATCTTTATCAAGAAAACTGGTCAGTACCTGCCAATGATTTGGTTCGGCGTGTTTATGATGACTCTGGGCTTTGGATTGTTTATCGATCTCAATGTCAATTCATCCTGGGCCAAGATCATCATCTACCAAATCATTGGAGGTATCGGCATCGGACCGAACTTTCAAAGCCCCCTCATTGCCTTGCAAAGTCTCGTGCCGGTAAGTTCCTCCACCAGTCCGTGCCTCGGGTCGCTTATGCATACCTCAATGCGAAGCTGTACGCAGGGAGCGGGGTTGCTGGCTTGGCCATGATTACTGCTGCAACTAGGACACCGATGCTAACAAGCTTTGCAGAAACGAGACATTGCTACTGCAACCGCCACTTTTGGGTTTGTTCGCAACCTTGGATCAGCCATTTCGGTTGTTGTGGGTGGTGTGGTTTTTAACAATCAGATGAAATCAAAACAACCCGAACTGGCTGCCGCACTGGGCGCACAACGAGCAGCAGCGTTTAGTGGAGGCTCTGCACGTGCAAATGTAGGCCTCATCCAAGCTCTACCCCCAGCACAAAGGTTTGTGGCGAGAAGGGCGTTTGGAGACTCACTAAGCACCATGTGGATACTATACGTTGCATTTGCTGCCGCTGGACTAATAGCCAGCTTCTTGATCGGGCGTAATAAGCTTGACAAGCAGCATGAGGAAACCAAGACTGGACTCGACGTCGAGAGGACCAAGAGGCTAGAAAGGGAAGCTGAGCGAGCTGAAAGGCGAAAGAAGAGAGCTAGCAAAGGCTCACTACCTATTGACCCAGAGGTGCAAGCAACTGATGCTGGAAAGGAATAGGACAAAGAAACCACTGCATGATTTAATATATAATTGAATTCTGGGGTTTGCATTAGCGTTGCATCATGGCCGGAGTTTTGTTCCATGAATTTGAAGGCTTTTGCGACCAAAAGAATGTACATATCTAATACTGAAGCATGATAGACAGGTACTCATTTACATAATGTGATTTAAATTAATAGAGCGGCGGCTCTATCTAATCGATTTTGCGAGGTGTACATCGAGACCGAGATTTTCATCGGTCTGAGTGTCTTGTCCTCGTTGCTCATGGGGACTGTTACATTGTAATATGAACCTTTATTGGAGGAGGAAAAAAAGAAAAATCATTCCACCTTCTGATAATCCAGCTCATCACAAGTAAAAAGAAACATCAAAAACAATGCTCAATTGTGTGAGATACAAATGCAGCCCGAAATTCGTGCTTATACGCCATTGCATGTTTTGCATCCATACGTCTGAGTGATGAGCGTCGGAGCAATTGAAAGGCAGTGCAAATTGGAAGCGTGCAAACAGAGGTGATGCCACTGGATTTACCAAGACGCTCGGTAAATTTACCTAAGAGCAAAAAGAAATGTTAATGACGATAATGTGTCGCTCCCTGGCCGCAGGTGGTGATGCGGTGTCACGTGCACTGGCCGCCAATCGCAGCGGAGCCCATTCAAAGCTCACCAGCACCGACGTTCGCGTGCATCCACACCACCGCCGACGCCAAGTACCGTACCAGGACCGCTTGGATTGCTCCCTACAGAGCATCTCCGATAGATCGACGTGATTCATCCGCCCGCGCACACCTCGCCGCCGCCGCAATGCCGACACCCGAGTCCGAACTCTTTCTCGCCAAAAAGCCCAAGGTTGCGCCAACCTTTGATGGCGTCGACTACGAGGACAACAAAGCATTGAAGGCTGCACAGGATGCCATTATCAGGGAGCAGTGGGTCAGGAGCATGATGGCGAGGTTAGTTCGGGAAGAGATGGGCAAGTGCTACCGGAGGGAGGGAGTCAACCATTTGGAGAAGTGTGGACATTTGCGAGGTACGCTTTACTTTCAAATACTTTGAATTATTTGACATTACATTTGAGTGTTTGTAACAAAAAACGACGTTGGGGTTGAGGGCCGACAACATGAGTGTCGGGACTTGTTGCAGAGTGCAAACACAAGCATGGAAATACTGCTGACAATGGCTACATAGAGCGATACTTTGAGCTCCTCAAGGACGCCAAGGTTAAAGGATATCTCTTTGCACAGCAAAACTACGTCGACGAGGCGCTCAAGCGATAGACGAATCCGCAAAGAACGATGGGTGTACACGCGATTACACGAATGCCAGGCGAACCATATGTTACCGAACAGCAACAGGGAACAGCACGAGGACAATGCAGAGGTCGGGTTTCTGGCGGTCGACGGGCATCGTGAGGAGAGATGCGATAGTCTTCTTTACAGGCGAATCTGTACATAAGCGTGCCGTATAAGAGGCTGATGTAGCACGAATTATAGGAACCCAATTCATAACTGCAATGGTACGGTCTATACTTATCTAAACTGACGTGATTCTTTACAAAATATATACATAAATTGTGGAACCCTGGCTATGCTCATTGTTTCTTGTAGTAACCTCTTGTCGTGTCACGATAAGGCCAAGGCTCACTCACTGCACCGCCCCCCACTACCGCGTACCTGCGTCGGCAGCTCCCAACCATAGCAACCAACACTCAGCAAGATGCCTTTTCCGTTCGTGCTGCCGACTACATCAAGTATATCCTTTACCGAATACTTCAATAGTAGCACACATCCCTCATTACCAAACTGTGCGACCACTGCGCGGGGTGTTCTTCGCGACGTGCTAAAGCGGCACAAGCGCATACCGCCTTCCTCACAAGCATCCAATTTTTCAACTGTAATATCCGCGCTCAATGACTATATACCATATCTATTTGCACTGGACGCCGGACTGAGTGGTGCGAGCTGCGCGGGAGAAGAAATCGATCTGGTGCTGGTCAAAGAGCTGGAGGTAGAATGGCGCTCGACACTAGGATCCTCAATCCCAGGGCGCGAGCCTGCAAGAGTCAAGCTGAAGAGCCTGGACAGTGAGCTGTGCTACACTCTGTCGACATTGGCCTATGTCTACAGCCTTCAAGCCCGAGCACAGCTACACACCCTCTACAATGCAACCCTACCGTCCCCTGAACAACGGGCAACGGCGATTGGTGCCGCTATGAAGCACTTTCTCGAAGCAAATTCGATACACACATATCTGTTCAATCGCTCTGGGCAGTATAGTTCGCAGCCTGCGGCTGTTGATATTTCAACGGCGGTGCTGGGGGCGCTTGCAGAGCTCACCATGGCCGAAGCCACCCTAATCACGGTTCTGAAAGACGACCCCTACCCAAGTGTAGTGATAGAGGATAGGAACAAACAGAGCAAAGACTGGATGTTCAGGGGCGTGGAAATCCCCAAAGTCCGCGCGCACTTGTTTGCTCGGCTGTGCCTTGCTTCTGCCGAACACGCCGCGAAAGCTCAAGCTATGCTTGGGCGCTCAACAAAGATCAGCGATGATTTAATCAAGTACGTGGACGATTTGAGACGGACTGCCAAGGGAAAGGCATGTCGTTTTCTCGCGTGTGACGCCGAGGCAGGAGGTAAAACTGGAGAAGGTATTGCGTGGTTACGTGGCGCGAAGAAAGAACTGGGGTTCGCAGCGCTGGGCGCAGAGGAAGATAAAAAGTCTTCGGGTTTGTCTAAACTGAAGAAAGAGTGGCAGGAGAAGCGGGAAGACCGCAAGATTGAGAAGGGGGTAGACTGGGGCACTGATGCGGGAAAATTTGAAGAGGGAAGGATAGTTGATATGCTTCTGAAGAAGTGGGAGAAGCAGAACGACACGGTAATTTTCTTCTCCTACATACATATACGCGAGTCATGTTGTTAACACCTACAGGTTGGCGTTCAACTCATTCCTCCTTCAGAGCCACTGCTTGCAAGTATGCCTTCGGGCCGAGAATATCATACGACAAAGATGTTTGTTGTACCAGCACTCGACGAGCATGCACTCGTCCGTATGAGGGCGCCTCCCGACCCAAGCGAAGCGTTCGAGGGCAACGAAGACGATAGCGCGGACGAAGATGAGCGGGACGCTCCTGCTGGAGCGTTTCCAGGAACAAAGGCAGACTATACTCCGAGTACCAGTTATTACTAACTGTCCGGATCTAAAATCGAGTCAATGTAAAGTCGGTATCCACTAGGGAATGTTTCCGTTGTACAGCCACGTCTGTGTGGGTTGTACGTCGCTCTTCCCGTTGCTTTGGGGTTTGCTTTAACGTCTATGGTTGCCATATCTATTTCACTATCTATAACAAATAAGTGTGATCTAACTATTTTACACATGCAAAAGCCTATCACGTCGAGACCCAAGTAAACGCGTATTGCTTGACTCCCAAACTGCCTATCTGGCTTCTCGCTATCACCAACCAATATTAGTGAAATAATAAGACCGAAGCTTAGAGGTGCCGGACGGGCCAACGCCGCGGACGGGCCAACGCCGGATCGCGTTCTCCAACACCAATTATTCCATCCCAACCACCCATAACGTGACCACAATGCAACTAATTGACGCTGCCCTTGCTGCTATTAATGCTTTAAAGCCTAATGAAAAGCTTGTATATTCTTAA